GCATTCTATTGTATCTTTAGAAGACGGTTTTCTAGTCGTTGCATATTCATTCGTTGCCTAAAGTCAAAAATGTTGTAGTGTCAACAAGTTGCCATTAACATTCTCATGTGGAAGTAATCACATTTGCTTCAATCATTATTATGGGGATAGGAGATCATATCTCAACCATAAAGAATATTTATATCTAATTTCTTTGAGAAAAGGTTTTTAAATTGAAAAGTCAAAGTGGAAAAAAAAATGGTGAGGTTAAATCACTTTTAGTCATTTGAAATGGTTTTGATAAGCTTAAGTTTATTGAGCCTTTTATTAAAGAAAGAGAGTTTGAAAATGCAATGACACAAAGTCAAAAATTTTATATGAAAGAGGTTAAAGTTTGAAATTTTATTTGGTTGTGGGTCGAGTGAAAATGCTTTTTAGAGTACATAAGGATGCATAGGGTAAACATCAACAATTACAAGGGTAATATAAAAATGTAAACACACAAGGGTAAACCTAAGGCAATGCGCGTGCTTATGACTATAAAGTCAACAAAACTATCCATTTTCCTTGGATTTTGATACAAGATATAAAAAATATATATTAATTACTAACATAAGGGCAAACACACACATCACAAGTGTTAAGGACAATATCACAAAATAACATGGCCTTTAAGATATTCATTTAAGAAAAATGTTAAACCAAAGATAAATATTAATCAAAAGAGGGAAATCAACATGCTTATTAAGTAAATATTGTGACAAAAGATGAAAGACATAAACATGCTTTGGTAAACAAATAATCATGGATATCATAGACATGTAAACAAACATTAAAGGCACATGGTAAAGCAAATACTCATCTTATCATGTCAACAACCAATTCTAAATATCAAGAGGGTTTCAAACAAGACAAGTATCAAAATTTAAAAACCAAATAAAATCATGGTATCAAAGTTAGGAGGATATATGAATGTGTCATCAACATTAAGTGAAACTCTACCTAGATATAATATGGTTACTTAAACACAAATGACCAATCAAACAAGAGAATCAATCAAAAGAACATCACAAAAGCTTTTAAAACACTTAAGAGGACTAGTTTTTGACTTGAATGAAAATAAGTGAAATAAATATTATTTTTTTGGGATTTTTATGTATTCATAAAATAGGGTAGATAAATAAGGAGTGTACAAAAAAACAACAAAAAATAAGTTGATTTAATCATAGAATCAATTGAGAGAAAATGGTGAAATAAACTATAAAAAAAACAAGTGATAAAAATAAAGCAAGGGGCTGCCAAGGCTTGAACCTGCGCCCTTGGAATTATCACCCAAAATACTATCCACTAAGCCACACGCTTAGTGGTGATAACAAACACACACACAAAATTATATTCAAAACAAAACACTGAATGTATAACAAAACAAAAAATGGAAAAAAAAACCTCAAAATGAGGGTTCATATTAGTTTGAACCCTCGCTCTCTTGCTTGCAACACAAACTCCTGACCAGCAGTGCTACGCCCTTATCCATTAATTATACATGTTGCATTAAATATGAAATAAACTAAATATTTGAAAATGGAATTTGTGTGCCCCACTAATCATCTTCTTCTTCACGAAGCAGTAACAACAACAATAATGGTCTTTTTTAAACTTTTTCATTTCTCAATAATTTTAAAAGATGTAAACATCAAAGTTGCTCTAAATTTCGCAAGCAATCCAAAAATATAACCAACACAAATTAAAACAGATTGTAACTCAATAATTTTAATGAAAAACAGAAAACCCTAACAAAATTCATTTGATCAGAACTTCACACATAAGTAAGATACATGATAATTAGTAAAGGATTTAGCTTTAACACATTATAATCTACACTTTTGCTTTAGAAACCAGACATTAATTATGCGTGTATAATGAATTAAAATTTTGAGTTTTCTTACCAATCGGAGAAAGTACAATGCTTATTTCAATGCCTCCAAATAAGAAATAATGATTTGAATAGCTTCATGGGACCTTGGTGAAGCTAATGGAATGCTCAACTTGCCTTGAGATAATCTTCAACCTTCTGTCCAAGTCAACTCACAAGCTTGAAAAAATGATAGATGTAGGATGATAGTGAAGGTGTTACAGTCGTGCAATGAGGGATTGTATGAGTTCTATATGAGTTATAGAAGCTTCTTAAATGATTTAGAGTGAAAATGCACGAGTGGATTGAGTGTTTGGTGTTTAAGGTCATAAGTTACAACAATAGAGTTTTATGTGTAGCTTTTAAGTTTGAGAGGTTTAGAGGTTGTGAATCCGTGTGCTTTGGAGTGTAAATGAGCCTACTATTTATAGGAAAAACTCAGTAAGTGAATTGGTTTCAAATGCAAGTTGTTGAGTTATGGTTTGGTTGGAATGGAAAGGGCAAATTACATGAAGATGATGGTTCCAAGACATGGTACACTTGCTTCTGAAGTTGTTGGATGGCTCATGCATGTTAGTTCTTGCTTTTGTGCTTGAGTGTGACCAGAGGGAACCACTACAAAGCTCAATGTATTGACATTATGCAAAAAGCATACTTTTCTAAAATGGAAATGGTGCCTTTCTTCTCTAAATGGAAAAATAGTTTAGACAATGCTTCAAACATTTGGATAATTGATCAATCAGTTGTGTAAACACTCAATTATGGGGATATTTGCAAGCCAAATGATTTAAAAAGTGTGATCTTCTTGCTTAGGCTTCTGTACAAAGAAGTTGGTCATGGCAAAATGACTTGAAATTCAGTTTGTGAGAGACTGTGCGCATCTCTTTGATTCTCCTGGCTCAAGCATTCTATTTTCATGCTCTTGGACATTTTGGAAAGCTTGAAACATCCTCTGCAACTTTCATGTTGATCATTTTCCTTGAATTAGATAGGATCTTGGCGAAAAATGCCCTACAACTTTATTGTTTTGGACTGAAATAAACACTTTAGAATTTTTTCTAAGTGTTGAGATTTTGACAATTTTGAGGTGCTAACTTCATCAATTCATATCTTCAAATCTATGCATTTTTTGGAGATCAACCCTCATTGACAAAGTTGTATTATGAAACATTCTCTTCAATTTGAGCATTGGAGCAAGAAAAATGGTTACTTGGTGAAGATGTTACAAGCTTTGCAATGTCGCATACTTGAACGTGAATTTTTAAAAGACTTGGTGAATTTTCCAAAATCCTAATCTTTGATCTTTGATTCTATCTCTTTATTACCTTCATTAAACTTGATCAAATGACTTCATTAATCATATTTTCACGATCCTTGACTTGAGAAGTCCATGGTTGACCAAATTTTTTTTCAAAAAGTCAATGTTTGACTTTGCAACTGACTACCAGATGAATCCAATTTGTCCAATTTCAATGGAAAGCCTTGATTATGGTGCAACCCTTAGCATGTTGATATATCTCTGAAGTTCATAAGATGATGATATGATGAAAACTTGAGTGATACACAATTGAAGAGCATAAACTCCAATTCTTGATTTTTCATCTGAGGCACCCAAAACCCTAATTCACTTGATGAATCCAATGAAACTCTAATATGATGAAATTGTGGTGAAGATGATGATTACTTGATCACCCTGAATGAGGGGCTTGAATCTTTGAGGAACACATGCCCTTTGATCAACCAATTGTTGGATCCTCTAACCTACATTGCACAAGCAACAAACAAAGCATATTTTTGTATTTTCATAAAGTTAGTGGATGTAAATATGAATGAGATGGTCTTTTAATATTATGCAAATGATGCAAAAGGAGGTTGAATCTTAGGTAAAAAATTAGGGTACAACATTGTCATAGCGTCAAGACACTCAACATTCTTTTTCTTTCTTTGACGTTGATTAGCCATGAAACAATAGTTTGCATCTTCATCATTATCGCTTGAGCTTTCGTCACTTCAGACATCACTAGCGTTATCCTAAACAACATAGGTTTGTGTAGAATTCCTAGAGTTGTTTCGTTGGCCCTTTCATATGAGTGTGAGAATAAGTAGAATATCTAAGTCTTGACACATGAAGAACATTGTATACGAAAGATGGTTATTGAGAATGCACACCCTTACTTTTCAAGATCAAGAATACTAATTCTATTTAACTAAATTTCTTAACAAATACACCATTAGTTAATTTTAGTTATTGAGTTCAAAACAACAATATTCAAGTACTAAAATAGTGTTCTGAAACATCTATTACACGTCAATAAAGACCCACACAGTTGATAAGAAGTTGGTTCATTCAAAAGATCATATAATATTGTTTATTAATTACTATAATTAAACTAATCGCAACTCTTAAAAACCATCAACATTCTTGTTAAGAACGTTCTTCTCGTGTCAACGTTTGGCTAGTTCAAATTCACAATAAGTATAGTCTTGGGTTAGGTGCAATATTTCCCGAATGACATCTTTATTAATTTATTTGTAGTGAGAAAAAAATGGTATATATAATATAAATATAAATTTTAATTTCAATAATACATATAACATAATTCAACATGCTAGATGATTGAATATTCATGAGCATAGCTGACTTGACTAATAAATTCTTAGTGATGACTGAGTCCTAGTTCTTTCCTCCCTCATTTTTTGTACTCTTCCTCTTTATTAACTCTCATTGTTCCAAACCAAACAAGAATAGCTGTTTCTGCATTTTTAAGGTTGGTGTTTCCTTAACAATTTTCTCTTTCTTTCACAAAACTTTCTTGTTTTCTTTGCTTTCTCCAAAACGTAACAGTAATACATAATCATGTTAACTTGTTCTTTACATGTGGTTCCATATGATTTTTGTTATATGTTACTACCTGTTTATCCGTTTGGTGATTTAGTATCATTCTTCATCATTGATTAATTCATTTGTACTAGTTTAGCTCTTGGAGAAAAACAAGTTTCTAATTTGATGTTAGATTTTGCAGGTTTGACTATAGTGTTTTGCTGCAAAAGCTAAATTACTTACTTGTTCATAACTTTATATTAATCTATGAACAAGTAGTTTAATCATATGAAGGCTTTAAGACATAAATTTGTGAGGTGAGGTTGTTTAATCTTGTCTGTTGCTTTACATGAATAATTTCAAATTAATACTTACCTCGTTAGTCTCTCTGCCTTTGTAGTACCGACACCTTTGAAAAAAGGTATGTCTGTACCCGTGTCTGAAACCGACACCGACACTTGTGATTACTTTTAACTTATTTATTTTTTCAAATTATTACTTGTGTCGACGTGTCTGTGTCCATGTCAATGTTCATGTCAGTGTTGTGTTTCCGGTGTCCGAACTTCTCAGCAATTGCAAACGAGGGATAAATTAGTTTAACAAAAAAAATTGACAAGATTTGGTATGTTTCTTTTCATTCCAGGTTTGAGGATTGGAGATCAGAGTCATCTTTTAGTATAGAGCAGAAAGATTCTAATAACATAAGAAAAGAGAAACTAAGAATAAGTGATGTTTTGAAGAGTATTGGAAGAAAAGTTGAAAGTGGTTTAGAGAAGATGAAGAAATTCGGAAGAAGTTCTTCGGTGGTTCACCCTGTAAGTGAAGGACAAACAAAGAAATCGGTTTCTTCTAAGATCAAAATTCTTGATCCACAAGGGCCAATGCTTCAGAAATGGAACAAAATCTTTGTAATCACATGTGTAATGGCCATCTATGTAGACCCTCTTTTCTTTTACATTCCGGTGATTGTCGGTAAAAACAAATGTGTTGATTTGGATGAAGCATTGCAGACTACTGCCAGTGTTCTTCGCACGTTCTTCGATCTTTTCTACATTCTTCGCATCATCTTTCAGTTTAGAACCGGATTTATAGAACCTTTTTCTCTTGTTTTCGGAAGAGGTGAACTCATTGACGATCCCGTCGCCATAATGAAAAGATACTTGAGTTCTCATTTCATCATTGACATTCTATCAATTATTCCACTTCCACAGGTATCTCTCATTTCAACTCATTCTTAATTGAGTATATTTTTTTTCCGATGCGAAAGAGATGATTTTGCTATTGTTTTTGCATTTCAGATTATTTGTTTGGCTATATTTCCACACATGAAAAATTCAGCTCCATTTGTAGCAAAGGATTTGTTGAAGTATGCAGTATTAATCCAGTATGTGCCGCGATTACTGCGGATTTGGCCATTATTCAAAGAAGTAACTAGAACTTCGGGCATATTGACAGAAACGGCATGGGCTGGAGCTGCTTACAATCTTTTTCTCTACATGCTTGCGAGTCATGTAAATCGATTTTATTTCGCTGTTACGATTCAATATCTTATATATGTTCCTAGTTATTATCATTGATCACTAAATTCTTGTATATGGTTGTGGCATAGATGGTTGGAGCAAACTGGTATATACTTTCAGTAGAATCACAAGTGCGGTGCTGGCGCCGAGAGATGAACAAGGCTGAAAGCTTTCGCGAATCATACTTGGGCTGTGGACGGAAAAGCGAAACTGTCTTCAAACTTCTCAACAGTACATGTCTTTTGGTTGATCCTGATAATATTAATGACACAAACACTTTCAATTATGGAATATTTTTCGATGGTCTTCAATCCGGTGTGATAGACTCGACCACTGATTTTCCTCAGAAGTTCTTCTACTGCTTTTGGTGGGGTTTGCGCAATTTAAGGTTGGTGAATGATATTTTGCGTTATTGTCTTAATATGCGCATTATAGAACTATAAAACTCTATATCACAATTTTGTCATATTTTACAGTTCTCTTGGACAAAACCTCAAGACAAGTACTTATGTGACAGAGATATCCTTTGCAATTTTCATTGCTGTCTTTGGATTGGTTTTATTCTCGTTACTCATCGGAAACATGCAGGTAAGTGTTGATTCGAAATTAACCACAATTTCCAAAACCATTATAAGTCCAAGTTTGCATAAGTTTGTGAGCTAATAGATTGTGTTGAACATTGTTACAGAAATATTTGCAATCTACAACAGTTAGGGTGGAAGAGATGAGAGTGCGAAGGAGGGATGCAGAATTGTGGATGTCGCATCGTATGTTACCTGATAACTTGAAGCAAAGGATTAGAAAGTATGAACAATACAAATGGCAGAAAAATCGAGGTGTTGAAGAAGAGACTTTAATTCTTAACCTCCCTAAAGATCTCAGAAGAGACATAAAGCGTCATCTTTGCTTAGCTTTAGTTAAGAAAGTGAGTATAATTCATATCATCTCGCCACAAAATCATTTTTTCGTCGATGGTTTGTACATGTATAATGAACATTTCATGTTCTTTAATCTTGCATTAGGTGCCACTGTTTGAGAAAATGAATGAGCAATTGTTGGATGCAATGTGTGATAGATTGAAGCCAGTTCTGTATACAGAGAAGAGTTGCATTGTTCGCGAAGAAGATCCGGTTGATGAAATGCTTTTCATCATGCGTGGAAAAGTCGCTACTATGACAACAAATGGTGGAAGAACTGGTTTCTTCAACTCCTTATTTCTAATGCCTGGTGATTTTTGTGGAGAGGAGCTTTTAACATGGGCTTTGGATCCAAACTCGTCTTCAAATCTACCAACTTCAACTAGAACAGTAGAAACTATATCAGAAGTTGAAGCATTTGCACTCATGGCTGATGATTTGAAGTTTGTCGCTTCCCAATTTAGGCGTCTTATCAACAGCAAACAACTCCAGCACACTTTTAGGTATGGCTTGATACTGTCTTTCCTTTTGATCATGGAAATAACTTATACATAAGGTTTATCTTCTGCAATATATACTTTGTTTGAAGGTCATATTCGCCGCAATGGAAGACATGGGGTGCGTGTTTCATACAAGCAGCATGGCGCCGATACTCGAAAAAGAAGATTGAGAGGACGTTGCGTGAAGCAGAAGACAAGCTACAAGATGCTTTGGCAAATGAGGAAGGTTCAACTATAAGCCTTGGTGCAACCATATATGCATCAAGGTTTGCTGCAAATGCATTAAGAAACTTGAGAAGAAATAACACACACAACAGAATGCAGGCGAGATTAATGCCTCTTTTGCCTCCAAAGCCAGCTGAGCCTGATTTCACAACTCAGAAACACTAGGCCTGGTTAAGAAATTCAAGTTAGATAGAATAGAAACAAAACTACAAGTAGGGGCGTGGTTAGCATTATACATACTTCATTCAATGTATTTATGTGCATATACATGTAACTATGTAAAATTTTCTTGTGATGTAGTGGAACAGACATAGTTCTTTTTGTTTTGTTCGAAGAATAAAACATCTAGCTGGTGAATTTCCAAATAAAGTGGCTTTATTTGTGTAACACTTTTATTTTATCCTTAGTTGTAAATTGATAAATCATGTTTTTATCGCTTTTATAGATACCACAAGAATCCTCTTGACGCTTCAGTCGAACATTTGTAAGCTGATGACCATGGGATTATCCTCATGGGGTAACACTCCCTCAACATCCCCATAGGAGAAGTTAATTTCGGGTGGGAAGGTGCCCCTGACTTCGAAAGCGCATTGGCATTGTACTTAACCTAGCAGAAATATTTTTCTGAGTGAGCTCGACTCTCCGCCCCCGTAAGACCTCTAGTGATCATGTTTAAAGTATGGCGTGTTTGCTCGACATCACTTCCCTGCTCTTGGTTTATATCTCTTCTTGGATAGGGAGATCTGGGTGAGATCTCTCCTTGATTGTCGTGGCCTTCTCTCCAAGCTCTTAGAATTCCCTCGTACATACCTTCGCAAGTGGCCCTAATGGATGAGTCGCCCTATTTCCTTTTTTAAATAGAGACAATCATCAGTGTGGTGTCCTCTAATTTTGTGGTACTTGCACCATTTGTTGAGTTCACTACACTTCTCCCTTTGGGGTCGGGCCTCAGGAATGACCCTTATGTGATATACTTCCTACAAAATATGCTCTCTTTTGCGTGTTTAATGGTGAATAATTGATAAGTGCAAATTTTAGTTATTTTTGTATATAATTTTTGTTGCACTTATCGATATTTTTATATCTTTTGAATAAACCCCACTTTGTTTGTAAATACGTTTAGTTTGTGCATATTTGCGTTTTTGTGTAATTAGTATATTGATTGATAGTTTTCCATCTATTTTGTAGGTATTTGAGCATTGTTGGAGAATTGGGTAATAAGAGGCAAAGGATAATCTCCAAGATGTGATTTTGATCAAATAAAAGAATAAGGGCCAAAGGGTTGGCAAAGCAAAGAAAGCCTTGCCAAAGGAAGAAGAAGTTTTGTTCTGTCAGTAGCGTCGGGCGAAGCTGAGGTGACGGCAGAAGCGAGTTGAGCGTGAGGCGATGCAGGGGCGAGAAGAAAAGAGAAAAATCCAAAATCTATTGTGTAAGTGTTTAGTTATTGGCATGTATTTTTGGTAAAACCAGGTGTGTGAATGTCATGACTGATGTCATAACATTCTGGGTTATTAGGTACTTTATGCAGAAAAAGAATGGCATACAGTAGCTGCTCTTTATGAGTGTGTATCTGAGCATTTTGCAATGATCACATTTATTACTTTCTACCAAAATCAGTAAACAGGATTTCTGTTGTCATAACCAATGTTAAGACATCCTGTACTGATCTAACAGTTATGCAGTTTGGTTAATTCTGAGATTTTTCAGGAATTTGGTTCATACTTTCCAGAACAGAATCTCACGTGGACTTTAGGTTAACTGAGCTCAACCCTAATCTGGTTGATAAAGTCTTGTGACCAAGTCTTGAGGTTAACCCTAATTAACCCTAACTTTTCGTGGAAGCCCTAACTGAAGAAACAGCTGCATATATATTCAATAGAAAGGTTGTTGGGAAAATCAACTTTTTGACAAAAGATCAACTAGGGGCTGTATAGTTTTAACTATTGTAATCCAAGCAAGTATCATTGTGATAAGTGACATGGAGTAGGTTTTGATTGTAAGGGTTGTGTATCACTCAAAGCTTTGAAGCAAGAGTGTTTGTGTCACTTGATTAAAACTTTGAAGCAAGGTCAAGTTAGGCTTATGTATCACTCAAAGCTTTGAAGCATGAGTGTTTGTGTTACTTGATTAAAAGCTGTGAAGCATACTCAAGTGTATGTTCTGAAAAGTGTCTTCATTATTTCATTAGTCAATTGTTTAGTATCACTGCTGTGATTGAGGGAGAGTGAGTAGGAACTCAGGTTTAAGTTGAACTTAGATTGAAGTTGCATTGGGTAGGTCTTAAGTGAAGGAGATAAACTGGTTGGTTTATTCCTGAATTAATATCTCTTATAGTGAATTTCCTCCCTGGCTTGGTAGCCCCCAGAGTAGGTGTTGTTTCACACTGAACTGGGTAAACAATTGACTGTGTTCTTTACTGCTTTTTGATTTACTGTCTTATAGAAAGTCAGATACGATGTCATAACATTCACTGTGACATTGAGTATCTGCTGCCAGAATTTCAATTGGCATCAGAGCAGGCACCCTGCCTGTCTTACTGGGTGAGATCTAGGGATATCACTTTCTGGCACTATGGACAAAGAAGGAGTTTTTGGAAACAGACCACCCATTCTGGATGGATCAAATTATGACTACTGGAAACCTCGTATGATTGCCTTCTTAAAATCACTGGACAAAAAGGCTTGGAGAGCTGCTGACAAAGGATGGAACCATCCCACCATAATTGAGAAAGATGGGACAATCAGTCTGAAGCCTGAGGAAGAATGGAGCAAAGAAGAAGATGAGTTAGCCCTGGGTAATTCCAAAGCATTAAATGCCTTGTTCAATGGAATTGATAGAAACATATTCAGACTAGTACATCAATGTGAACTGGCCAAGGAAGTTTGGGACACTCTCAAAACTACCCATGAGGGCACATCCAAAGTAAAAATGTCAAGGCTTCAAATACTGACTACCAAATTTGAGAACCTAAGGATGATGGAAGATGAAACCATTCATGAGTTTCACATGAACATCTTGGAAATTGCCAACACCTCAGGAGCATTGGGAGAAAAGATGTCAGAAGAAAAACTGGTGAGAAAGATTCTCAGATCCTTGCCTAAAAGATTTGCAATGAAGGTAACTGCTATAGAGGAAGCCCAGGATATCAGCAAGTTGAAGGTGGATGAACTCATTGGGTCTCTTCAGACCTTTGAGATGGGGATCAGTGACAATGTTGATAAGAAAAACAAGAGCATAGCACTTGTATCCAACACTGAAGATGAAAACAAGGAGGATGAAGAAGAAAATATTTCAGAAGCTATAGCCATGCTTGGAAGACAATTCAACAAACTCATCAAGAGAATGGATCCAAAGTCAAGGTCAAATGTTAAGAACATTCCTTCTGACATTAACAGATCTTATGACTCCAACAGAAGACCAAAGTCTGAAGAGAAGGGAAATCAAAGCAGAGGAATTCAATGCCATGGATGTGAAGGATATGGGCATATTCGAGCTGAATGTCCTACCTTTCTTAAGAAACAAAAGAAAGGAATGTCTGTTACTTGGTCTGACTGTGATTCAGAAAGTAATTCTGAAGAAGAATCTGCCAAACTAGTTACTGCACTAACTGGTATTTGTACCTCTGATAGTGACACTAGTGATGAGGAAGTGACATTTGAAGAACTGGCTGATACCTACAAGAAATTATGTATCAGAAGTGCTGAAGTCTGTCAGCAAAATGAGAAACAAACAAAACTCATAATAAAGTTGGAGGCTGAGAAAAGGGCAGACATTGAAACTATAAGTCATCTAGAAGGGGAAGTTCAAATGCTGAACTCAAAACTGGAACAGATGACTAAATCTGTCAAGATGCTGACAAATGGAACTGACAAATTGGAAGAAATCGTTCAGGTTGGACAAAATGTGGGAAACAAGTCTGGTCTAGGATTTGTGGCAGCAAAGAAAACTGGTACAGACAAGAAGATCAGGCCTGATAATCAAATGTCAAAGCAGATGTCACAACATAGCACTCAACATCGGGAACAGAGAAATATGAAGAAAAAGTACCAAAGATGGAGATGTCATCATTGTGGGAGGTTTGGTCACATAAAGCCATTCTGCTTCAGATTGTATGGATACCCTAATCAGAACCCAGGTGTCAAACCTAAGTCTAACAAGGTACCACATACTCCACAGTGGAAGAAAAAGGCTACTGCCCTGATAGCCCACACTTCCCTTAGAGTCTCTGCAAAGGAAGACTGGTACTTTGACAGTGGATGTTCTAAGCACATGACTGGAATCAAGAACCTTCTCAATAATGTTAAACCTCACACCACTAGTTATGTGACCTTTGGAGATGGTGGTAGAGGAGAAATCAAAGGAGTTGGAAACTTGGACTGCCCTGGAGTTCCAAATCTAAATGAAGTATTGCTGGTAAAAGGCTTGACTTCTAATCTCATAAGTATCAGCCAATTATGCGATCTAGGATTCAAGGTCAACTTCTCAAAATCTGAATGTCTTGTAACTAATGAGAAACAAGAAGTTGTAATGAAAAGAATCAGATCTAAAGACAACTGCTACTTGTGGGAGCCTGAGAACACTAATTACTCTACTGTGTGTTCTATTGCCAAAGAAGAAAAAGAAGTGAAACTGTGGCACCAAAAACTTGGCCATCTACATCTAAGAGGAATGAAAAGGATTATATCCATGGAGGCAGTCAGAGGGATTCCAAGACTGCAAATTGATGAAGGGAGAGTATGTGGTGAATGTCAGGTTGGTAAACAGACTAGGATGTCACATCCAAAGTCAAGACATCTGACCACCTCTAAGGTTCTAGAACTTCTACATATGAATCTGATGGGACCAATGCAGGTGGAAAGTCTTGGTGGAAAAAGATATGCCTATGTTGTTGTGGATGATTTTTCCAGATTCACCTGGATTAACTTCATTAGGGAAAAATCTGATGTATTTGAAGTTTTTAAAGAACTGTGCAAAAGAATTCAAAGAGAAAAAGAAGGATGCATTGTCAGAATCAGAAGTGATCATGGCAAGGAATTTGAAAACAGTAAGTTTAATGAGTTCTGTTCCTCAGAAGGAATTAATCATGAATTCTCTTCTCCTATAACTCCTCAACAAAATGGAGTTGTAGAAAGGAAAAACAGGACCATACAGGAATCTGCCAGAGC